AATCCTTACCTTTCCTTATAGCTAATCTAACCTGAAATCAGTGTTTCAAAGCTCACTTTTTTCACTCCCATACCAAGATGGCTGAGAACAAATATAGAAAAATCATGAGTGACCCATCACAGAGATCCGAGGCTTTGGGAGAACTGACTTAGCCTCATCCTACTTCCTTGTTTAGGTGTTGAATACACATCAGGCTGAGCCAATTAGGTTATTCTTCAGTTCAGTCGCTCAGTCGTGTCCAACTCTTTGCGACCCCATGAATCGCAGCACGCCAGGCCTCCCTGTCCATCACAAACTCCGGAGTTTACTCAAACTCATGTCCATCAAGTCGGTGATGCCACCCAACCGTCTCATCCTCTGTTGTCCTCTTCTCCTCCTGCCTCCAATCCCTCCCACCATCAGGGTCTTTTCCAGTGAGTCCAGCTGTTCACAAGAGGTGGCCAAAGTATTGGAGTTTCAGCTTCAGCGTCAGTCCTTCCAATGAACACCCAGGACTGATCTCCTTTAGGATGGACTGATTGGATCTTCTTGCAGTCCAAGGGACTCTCAAGAATCTTCTCCAACACCACAGATCAAGAGCATCAATTCTTCGGCACTCAGCTTTCTTCACAGTCCAACTCTCACATCCATACATGACCAGTGGAAAAACCATAGCTGTGACTAGACGGACCTTTGTTGGCAAAGTAATGTCTCTGCTTTTTAATATGCTCTCTAGGTTGGTCATAACTTTCCTTCCAAGGAGTAAGTGTCTTCTAATTTCATGGCTGCAATCACCATCTGCAGTGATTTTGGAGCCCCAAAAAATAAAGTCTCTCACTGTTTCCACTGTTTCCCCCTCTATTTGCCATGAAGTGATGGGACCAGATGCCATTATCTTAGTTTTCTGAATGTTGAGCTTTAAGCCAACTTTTTCACTCGCCTCTTTCACTTTCATCCAAGAGGCTTTTTAGTTCCTCTTCACTTTCTGCCATAAGGGTGGTGTCATCTGCATATCTGAGCTTACTGATATTTCTCCCAGCAATCTTGATTCCAGCTTGTGCTTCTCCCAGCCCAGCATTATTCTTACCCTCTGACAACAGTGGTAAGCTCAGGGACAAGCATTTTATCTGAGGCAATCTAATCAGAGTGACTAGATTTTTACTGACAGTACTAGGAAAAATAGGTTCAAAATTATCAAGGAAGCATTTAGCTTTACCTGGACCTTCAAGAGAAATCAACCTTAAGTAAAGCTGATATCAAGTAAGCAAAACAAGGTATGAAAGAAGTCTGATCCTGATGATATTACTGAGCCACTGGTTCCAGACTAAAGTCAGTGAATCCCACTTAATCTCTCTACTTTTTAGTTATATGAACCAATAAGCTTCCTTTCAGCAAAGGTTTCAATTGTGTACTCTACTGATTATAAGCAAAAGAATCATGATATATAATATCTGGGTTGAGTCTGACATCAACACATCATACTAATATACCTTGGTTGATGTCTAGTTGCCAATTTTACTCTTAGTTCTCAGTTATCAGTAATCAGAGCTTCCTTCTTCTTCCTCTAAGCTATTACTCAGATCACAGCAGATGCTCAAAGGGTATTTGTTGAACCACATTAGCAAGGCAGAACCTAAAACAGGCATCTAAGAAGGATTTATTATCCAAGTTCAAACAATACTGTCTTCTAAGAGCAGTAAAACCAACTTCAGGACAGTGTTTCTCAAACATTTTTGGCTGCATTCCACAATAAGCAATGTATTTTATGCCATGATTTGATACACACAAAACTATATGACTGAAAAATAAAATTAAAAGAATACTTACCCCCTACTACATGCAAAGAACTCTATTTTTCCTTCAATTTTTTAAAATGGCTCATGATTACCTATTAAATTCATTTCACACTGCTTACAAGGGGATGACCTATATATTGAAAAATGTGGCCTTAGGAGTTCTCTTAAATCAAAATGGGGAACTTCGATGACTTGCTAGTAAAAAGATCAGCCAAGGCAAACAAAAGAAAATAAAACACCTTGTCCAGGTTTTCTTGCACAAACAGTAGGTCAAGAGCCTCTTAAGTATTATTACCTCTTGTGTCTCACTTTTTCTAATCAAGCAAGAATTAGACTTTCAGTGTTATTGCCCTGCTCAAATCCTCACAGTGGTCTTCAGTGTATAATACTCAAATGTCAGACTAAAGTCAAAGTGAAAGTGAAAGTCGCTCAGTCCTGTCAGACTCTTTGCGACACCATGGACTACACAGTCCATGGAATTCTCCAGACCAGAATACTGGAGTGGGTAGCCTTTCCCTTCTCCAGGGGATCTTCCTAACCCAGGGACTGAACTCAGGTCTCCCACATTGCAGGTGGATTCTTTACCAGCTGAGCCACGAGGGGGCCCAAGTCAAGGTGAGGAATCCACTAAATGTACCAAATCCTGTATGTGAAGTGTAAAATATTTCTTTTTTAATTTGGCCGCTCCAGGTCTTAGTTGTGGCATGTGGGACCTAGTTCCCTGACAAGGAATGGAATCTGTGCCCCCTGAAGAAATGAAACCTGTGCAGAGTCATAACCACTGGACCACCAGAGAAGTCCCTAAAATATTTTAAACATACACACTATGACAACTACTATTCGCCAAAGTGTTATGTAGATGTATCAGTGAATAAAAACACAAACTTATTTTCCTCCAAAACTTTTCCTCTCTGAATACCAAGTTGCCACCTACAATTAACAAAAATTATTTTTCATAATAACTGGGAAAATCAATTGCTAAGTGGTTACTACTGACATCACATCACCAGCTAATTAGCCATGCCCTACTCCAGGGATCTTCCTGATCCAGGGATCGAACCCATGTCTCCCTCATTGTAGGCGGATTCTTTACCATCTGAGCCACCAGGGAAGCCCAAGAATACTGGAGTGGGTTGTCTATACCTTCTCCAGGGGATCTTCCCAACACAGGAATCGAACCAGGGTCTCCTGCATTGCAGGCAAATTCTTTACCAGCTGAGCTACAAGGGAAGTCCAGCTAATTACCACCAGCAAGGAACTTAAACCCTATCATGTAAGGGGTCCACAAAATCTTGTACACAAAGAGAGAATTCCTAACACCAATTAAAAAGAAGGAAAGAGGCAGAGGAAAAGAAAAACCTGAGAATCATTAATAAGCAGATAGATAAAAAAAAATCCTTTGCCTAGGACTTAAAGCCCTTTATACTAACATCATTTTGACCATGGCCAACATTATCTCCTACTACCAACCAACAGAACTAGTCCACTCCTGACAATTTTATCTCTTTATAAACATACATGAATGGTTCACACTAACTTTCAAGCCTAATTTCTCCTCTGCTCAGAATCCTTCTCGGGTTTACTAATCCAAACCCTACTTCTCCATGAAGGCATACCTTCACATCTCTACCCTGACTTCCCAAAGATTTGTAGTTTCTTGACAGCATCACAAAAATAACTGGTGGATGTGTTTTTCTAATGTGTTTTTATAAAATAAGATAAACAATTGTAAAAGCACTTTGGAGGTTTCAAGGTCTTATTTTCTGAACAGCTTTAAGTTAAAAAAAAAAAGTAATAAAGCAATTGATTGCTATTCCAAACCAAATGATAATCTTTAGGAATGACTTATCTGGTAAATACTTCAATTCATTTCTGGGTGTTTGAAGTTATTTGGCTCTATGTCTATGAGGTGGAAAAATATCCAAATATATAAAGCTGAAAGACCCAAATCAGACTGGAGGCATCTTAAAATATTTTAAAGTAAAATACCATTTTCTGCAAGACGCTTTCTAAATTTTCCATATATTTTAAATTTGATTCAAAAAATTCAGCTGAATGTTAAACATTATCTCCATTAAAGTGTGCAATACTTTATTGTTGACTGTAGTTAACAATGTTGCTAGACACTCTTAAAAGATCCTCTCTTTACCCATCACTGGTGGTGGAACACATCAGTGTGAGCTGGAGACAACTAAACTAACAACTAAATGGAGACATCCATTTGCTACAATCACTCCAAGTTTACTGGACAGAGGAGCGTGGTGAGCTACAGTCCATGGGGTCCCAAAAGAGTCAGACACCGCTTAGCGACTAAACAACAACTCCAAGTGAATGGGCTTTTTAAAAGCATTTAAAGAGTTTAATCATTTCAACTGCTGAAAATTCTAGCTCAGAGGGCATCAAAGTATTTAGTTTCTGGGTATACTTTTTTCCTTAAAATAATATTTAAAGTCCTGAGAAATTCCAAGATGGAGTAGTGCAAAAAAAAAAAACAAGAATAAGAGATCTTAGGCGTAATAGTAATTACTAACATTTATTCAGCCTTCACCTCAAATAAGCCAAACATCACTCTAAATCCTTTACATGAATTATTCTGTTTAATCCACGCACCAACTGTAAGTAGATATTATTATCAGCCCCCACTGTACAGTTCAGATACTTAACTTTCAAAGGATAACAAGTCCAAAGTCATAAGTGGGAGAGGAGGGACTCAAACTCAAGTGTTCTTGCCACCTGGAAGAGGCATCTGGACGTATTAATAGTTAACTCCTTGCTTTTAGCCCCTACTTCACTAATCTGGCTTTGTGACTTTGTGTAAGTTATATATCCACTCTGGACCTCAGTTTCCTCATCTGTAAAAAACAAAGCAACGAATGCTAACGTTCCTTCCAGTTCTGCCTGGCTTTAATATTATCAACATTACAATGTCCCTGAGCGTCAACAAGCCAGCGTTTCATTCCTTTTTTTAGTTGAATTCAACTGAAAAAAAAAAAAAATCAACCATTTAGGAACCCACTACATTTTGCTGTCTGGCCTTATGGACAGTGGGCACAAGGTGGGCAGTGGCCGTAGCCGAGGTCTTCCAATATCTCTGCTCCCGCTCCCGATGCCCCCTTTTCACCCTCAAATCCCCGGCACCCGCGGGGGCCCTTTCTCCTCCGAAACCCCTCCCGGCACACCTCCGCCTCTGGGCCAAGCCCCGCGCTGGTTCCCAGGTCTACTCACCTTTCAGGTGGTCTCTGCTGCCCGGCGTCGAGGGACCCCGCGTCCCCGCTGCCTTGTCCCTCAGAGGGGTAGAATGGAGTGCCGCCGTTTGCGATCTTTCGACCGCTCTGCCTTTCGTCATGGTTGTTTCAGGGTAGATGGAGGAAGCGGGGTGAGGCCGCTCCCCCTTAACAACAACTCCGCTGCAGAATCCTTACAACACCCAGGGGCCACAGCACAGCCACTTCCGGGTCGACCACCTCACCTGAGCCGACCTCAGCTCCGCGAGCAGTGACGCTGAGCTGAGGTCTGCAGCGCCTACTCGGGCTAGGCTCCGCCCCGCACCGCCCCCCAAGGCTCGCGCGCTCGCGCCCGCCCAGTAACCGCGAGACAAGTCAAGGTCCCCGCCCTCCCCATTTGTTGCCCTACCCGGCTTCGTGACTGCGCGGAGCATGCGCATTCATGGCACCGGCGTCAGCCGGTGTGACTCACGGGCTCAGGCTTGTAACGCGCATCTCTAATTATCCGGAAGTGCGGTCCCAGACACTTAAATCCCTTTGTCCTGGCAGCCGGAAGTGGCCGGGAGTGATTAGTTGGCGTTTCACGGCAGATGTTGATTCCAATCTACACCAATTAGACAACCTGTCTTGAATCTGGAGAAGCTAGACAGTGCTTGTCTGTAGATGTTGGAAAACATAAAGGCTAATTTCAGGAAATTAAGACTCAACTGGCAGCTATAACCTGTGAAGGTCACAGGGTGGCAGAAATGGGTTTAGAGGGACTTCGCTGACAGTCCAGTGGTTGAGACTCCGCGCTTCCACTGCAGGGGGCATGGTTGGATCCCTTATCTGGAACTAAGATCCTGCATGCCCCACAGCAGGGCCAAAGAAAAGGAAATGGGTTTTGAATCCTGTTCCCAAGCAAATGCTTTCCCACGTCATTGACCTGTCACCCTTCACTTGTAAATTCAGGACGGCTCATTTATCTTTTCCTTTTCCTGCCCCTAAAGGTACATTTTTTTTTTTTGATGGTTACATTTTCCACTCTTACCTCCCAGAGCGGTATTCAGTTTAGTGGTGAGTGTATTGGAAGGTCCTCTTGAAAGCAACTTGGCAATGTGTGTAAAAATACTGATTCTTCCTATCCTGTAATTCAATTGCTAAGAAACTATTCTGTGGGAATAAGCATACAGAGGGCGTTATTCCTGATGCAATTATTTTTTTAGTATGATAATAAATGCAGAAGCAGTCTGAAAACCAATAGGAGGTCCAGTGGAACTGTTTTATGTACACATCCTCTGGCTACATATATTAAGACTTTCAATGACCTCTGTTAGGAGGTAGTGAAAACAGGAGGGAAGGGGGCACAGCACAACTTTGAAAGACTGACATAGCCTGAGAAAAGAACATAAACTGATTAGACTCAAATGGGTCCACAATGTCAGACAAGTCACCTTTGACTAGCCCTTGAGCCTCAATCAGCAAGCTAAAATGACACACCCAGAGGTACTATGACAGTTCCAAGGTCAACCATCAAAGATCAAAACGTGGGCAGTGGCCCAATCCCTGGAAACCTCCACCCATTTCCCAAAATAGTTGGAATAATACTCCCACTCATTAGCTTGTGAAATTACCAAACCCATAAAAGCTAACCACACACTCTGAGGCTGCTGCACTCACCCTCTGAGATGGCCCACACTCTTCTGTGGAGTGTGTTTCTCTCAGAAGAATCCACCTCTTACCTATCACTTTGTCTCTCACTGAATTCTTTCTACGATGAGACATCAAAAACAAAAACCTGAGCTTCGTTAGGTGTTGAAACCAGATCTGTGATCTCAGTTGGAAGACTGTGGGTTTTGGCTGGTTTAGAATCCCAAAGGGCTTCCCTGGTGGTTCAGACAGTAAAGAATTCGCCTGCAATGCAGGAGACCTTCGCCTGCAATGCAGGAGACCTTGGTTCCATCCCTGGGTTAGGAGAATCCCCTGGAGGAGGGCATGCCAACCCACTCCAGTATTCTTGTCTGGAGAATCCCCGTGGACAGAAGAGCCTGGCCAGCTAGTTGAAAAGAGCCGGGCATGACTGGGCAACTAAGCACGGAGTCCCAAAATGGGTTTTGGCTGTTCAAGTCCCAGCCACATGGGTTCAAGTCCCAAGCAGGGTTTTGGCTGGGTTCAAGTCCCATTCTGAGGTAAATGATTTCAGCAGCTTCCCATTCAATTAATTCATGGTCATTATTAAAAGCAATATTTATTTAGATTATTTGTTAACTGTCTGCCTCCACCTCTACAATGTAAGCTCCATTAAGATAAGGGGCTTTGCCTTCTTGTCCGTTTGTATGCCCCAGTACCTGACAGTACCAACACCTAAGTTGGCGTTCAATAAATATATTAAATAGATTTTCTTTTTCTTTTTGGCAACACTGGGTAAATAGTTCCCTATTATATAATATAATATAATAATAATAATTGTTCCCTATTCTATTATTATTTTATAGTTCTGGGATCTTAGTTCCCTGACCAAGGATTGAACCTTGGGAGCTCAGCATGAAAGCACAGAGTTATAACCACTGGACAACCTCGGAATTCTATAGATTTTTCAACCATAGAAAATTACAAAGAGACCAATAATGTGGACAATGCTTCTTTAGAAACAAATGCCAAGTATAAAAAACAAAACAAATATCAAAAGAAATACATAAGCAAGTAAATTTATATCTTTAGTATAGAGGTCTTCTTGAGCAAGATGCAAAACCATTTTTAAAACACTTGATAGGCTAATTCATTTCAATGTATGACAAAAACCACTGCAATGATGTAAAGTAATTAGCCTCCAACTAATAAAAATAAATGGAAAAAAAATAAAACACTTGATATATTTTACTAAAAAAAAAAAAAATTTTTTTTCGCCACAACTTGTGGGATCTCAGTCGCCTGACCAGGGATTGAACCTAGGCCATGGCAATGAAAGCCCAGAATCCTGACTGCTAGCCACCAGTTCAGTTCAGTTCAGCCTCTCAGTCGTTTCCGACTCTTTGTGACCCCATTGACTGCAAAACGCCAGGCTTCCCTGTTCATCACCAACTCCTGGAGCTTACTCAAACTCATATCCATTGAGTCAGTGATGCCATCCAACCATCTCATCCTCTGTCGTCCCCTTCTCTTCCCACCTTCAATCTTTCCCAGCATCAGGGTCTTTTCCAATGAGTTAGTTCTTCACATCAGGTGGCCAAAATATTGGAGTTTCAGCTTCCGCATCAGTCCTTCCAATAAATATTCAGGACTGATTTCATTTAGGATGGACTGGTTAGATCTCCGTGCAGTCCAAGTGACTCTCAAGAGTCTTCTCCAACCCCACAGTTGAAAAGCATCAAGTCTTCGGTGCACAGCTTTCTTTATAGTCCAACTCTCACATCCATACATGACTACTCTAAAAACCATAACTTTGACCAGATGGACCTTTGTTGGTAAAGTAATGTCTCTGCTTTTTAATATTCTGTCTAGGTTGGTCATAGCTTTTCTTCCAAGGAGCAAGGGGCTTTTAATTTCATGGCTGCAGTCACCATCTGCAGTGATTTTGGAGCCTAAGAAAATAAAGTCTGTCACTGTTTCCATTGTTTCTCCATCTATTTGCCATGAAGTGATGAGAACAGATGCCATGATCTTAGCTTTCTGAATGTTGAGTTTTAAGCCAACTTCTTCACTATCCTCTTTCACTTTCATCAAGAGGCTCTTTAGTTCTTCTTTACTTTTTGCCATAAGGATGGTGTCATCTGCATATCTGAGGTTATTGATATTTCTTCCAGTGATCTTGATTCCAGCTTGTGCTTCATCCAGCCCAGCCTTTCTCATGATGTACTCTGCATATAAGTTAAATAAGCAGGGTGACAATATACAGCCTTGAGGTACTCCTTTTCCTATTTGGAACCAGTCTGTTGTTCCATGTCCAGTTCTAACTTGTTTCTTGACCTGCATACAGATTTCTCAGGAGGTAGATAAGGGGTCTGTTATTCCCAACTCTTGAAGAATTTTCCAGTTTGTTGTGATCCACACAGTCAGTTATGAGGGCTTCCCTCATAGCTCAGTCGGGAAAGAATCTGCCTGCAATGCAGGAGAACCAGGTTCTATTCCTTGGTCAGAAAGATCCCATGGAGAAGGAAATGGCAATCCAAAACCCCCTTGACAGAGGAGCCTGGCAGACTACAGTCCATGGGGTTGCAAGAGTCGGACACGACTTAGCAACTAAACCACCACACCGTCAAAGGCTTTGGCATAGTCAATAATGCAGAAGTAGATGTTTTTCTGGAACTCTGTTGCTTTTTCAGTTTCAAGCTTGAACATCTGGAAATTCACAGTTCACATACTTTTGAAGTCTGGCTTGGAGAATTTGAGCATTACTTTGCTAGTGTGTGAGATGAAGGCAATTGTGGGGTGGTTTGAACATTCTTTGGCATTGCCTTTCTTTGGGATTGGAATGAAAACTAGCCACCAGGGAACTCCCTAAAAAAAAAATTTTTTTTAATACCAAACCATAAACTTTAAAACCTAGGAATAGACTGAGAAAAAATATTTTCAACATAAATAAGAATTACCACAGATCAATAAGAAAAGTACAACTCAACAGAAAAGTGGACAAAAGATGTGAATAGTAAATTTACCGAGGGAAAATTAAATAGCCAACAAATTAGAAAAAGACAAACAGGCTTATTAACACTGTGAGATGACACTCATTGAGAGGTGCCTAGATTGCAGAAGAGAGGAATGTCTGAATTAGAATGGAGCTGCAGTGAAGGTCTCCTGGGAAGAGTGATTTTTAAACTGGCTTAAAGGATGAGAGGGAATTAACAAAGGAAAGGAGGAGAAAACAGTTTTTACTGCTTATCTTTGAATGGGAGCTTCAAGAAAAGAATAGGAGAATGGGGAAAAGTGAGATAAGACAAGGGCATTATCACAAAGTGCTAGAAGTTTGAAGTTAATCCTCAAAGATATCTGAAGGCATTGAAGAACTTTTAACTGGAGAGAACTGTATTAAGATTTGTATTTATGAAGCTTATTCTGACTGCCCAGTGACAGAATTAAAGAAGTTCCATACTATCTGCAGGAAGAAAAGGTAAGAAGTTATGGTAATAAACCTGGCTAGACCCCT